TTAAATAGCATTAGGGCAGACTTAGTTAAAAAATTGGTCAAGGTTAAAAGTCAAAAACTCAAACCTGGTCAATACATCTGAGTACACCCATCATACTAAGCTTGTATGCTTGGCGTACACGAGTTTGACCAGAAAGGCGATGGCTGACCACGAATGGCCAATGTTCCTGGCGGAACACCCAACGTTCGCGACTAAGTCATTTTCCTTCTTATTAAGAGCTTAATCCGTAAGCTCTTTTTTCCATATTCCAGATCTAGCCCTAAATTAACATCCTTAACCATAAAGTTTCAAACTTTATGGTCTTGCATCGCTACTAAGTGCCTAATAACAAAAATTCTAGCTTATCAAGCCATAAAGACCTTATGACTCATGCATGGAATGAAACCAACAATCAAGATTTCATTTTTATGCTTCTAAATACTCCAAAAAGTTTGAAAAGGCAACTTATATGGATTAGAGTAACCTATACTCATAATACCAAGCGTATGGGACCAAAAGAACACAATTTCGTGGTTAAACAAGATCTAATCAATACTTCATCAAGTTCAGAGCTTTTTACCTTCAAATGTTGTCAAATGATGTTGTTATTCTAGATCCAAAGTGTTCTACTCCTCTAAGATTATCTTCTCTTCTTTCTCCCACCTTCAAGATCACCAAAACAGACTCCATGGCTCAAAAATACTCTCAAATGGATTAGGGTTTGTAAAGTGGTCAAAATGGGACTGGAGGCTGATAAAAGGAAAAGGATATGGGAGTTAAGGATGTTTAAATAGGGTCCAACCCCTAAAAATTAGGGTTTTCACCTTGGCCACTTACGTCCAGCGTTCCTAGGGGAACGCCCAGTGTTTGCGTATGTTGCCTAAAATTACGAAAATGCCACTATGGACCAATTTGCAACCAATTCTCATATTAAGGGTGAAACACCTGACTATATTTGTATTCTCAATATCCAAAATTCTTGGCTCCGTTGTTGATTTACGCTTATATATATATATATATATATATATATATATATATATATATATATATATATATATATATATATAATATATATATATATATATATATATATATATATAAGTTGGATCGAGAAAGCACTTAAAAATAAGTGAGGACTGCGAGGACAAATCCTTACCGCAGGGTTGGAAAAATAAAAAGTGGAGATTTGATTTTATTTATTGTCAATATCTTGCGAGATTATATGACGTTTTTGTAACTATGAGCGAGATTTTGACATTTTCCGACAAAGGTTAATTGTTTGGAGGTTAAATTGGTAAAATGAAAAAGAACAAAAAAAATCCCCAGCAAGCAAACACATGTTCTTCTTCTTCCTCCCCCCTGTCTTTTCTCTCTCTGCCACATGTCAAACCCTCATTTGGTGGAGTTTTTTTTCCATCCACATCGTTTTTTGGCCGTACCTTTTTTTCTTTGAAAAAAAAAATATGAAAAACCAAAGTTATTAAAATTTAATTCTCTACAAAATGAGCACAATCATGAAAATTTGAAAAAAAAAATTTATTTTACTTTTTATAAAAAAATCTAAAAAATATTCCCCAAAATCCATAAAAATTTAAGGGATACTTCTACTCAATATAATAGTGACCTTTTGAAAAGAATTTTTCAAAATAAGTTTTTGAAGTAATTATTTTTAATTTTAGAAATCTTAATTTTTTTAAAAGAATATTGAACATAATATGATCCAAAATGTGATAATTCAAAATATTTATGATTCAAAAAAAACTTTTAATTCAACTTGTTTATGATCTTTAATTTGTTATGATCTAAAAATATTTAGATTCAAATATTTTATAATCCTTAATTATATCTTTTATCATTAAAAAATAAATGATTCAAAATATATAATGATCCATAATTGTTTTTTGAACAAAAACTATATTTAATTGAATATATTATTGATCCAAAATCATATCATTCAAAAATGATTTGATTAAAAATACTACAATGCAAAATAATTTGATTCAAAATTTTATGATCGAAAAATACAATGATTCAAAAAAGTACGAAAGAAAAATATTATGATCTTTAATATTCTTCTTATATAAAATTTTATAATTGTTAAACATTAAAAACTCAAATCGATATTTAGTTTAAAAAATAAAAAAAAAAACAAAAAAAACCAAAAAGTAAAAAAAAATATAACCACTAGTACCTTCAAGTATGTAGTAAAAATATTTAAAAAAACGAAAAAAGAAAAAATGATAATTAAAAAAAAACGAAAAAAAATAAAGAAAAAACGAAAAAAAACATTAGAACATCAAATCCAAGTATATATCTAATTTAAAAAAAAAATCGATTTTTTAATGAAAATAAATAACCACTAAAATGACGTTCCATGGATGTTCGCCGCACGTGATTAAATCATCTAGTTCATATCAGTTACCACGGACATGCGTCATGTGCGAACGCCCCACATGTAAGTATTTGTGTTTGACGTTTGTGCCTTTGACGAAATGGGTGGTGGAGAATTATCCTCGTAGTCCTAACAATTTTTTGAGTCCTCACCGGACCAGACCATATATATATATATATATATATATATATATATATATATATATAATATATATATATATATATATATATATATATATAGGCTTACGTTTTATATTCAAAGTAATTATTGTGTTATTATATGCATAAATGTGGACCAATCATTTTACTTATTTTAAGAAAGTGATTAATACATATTATTGAATTAAATATAATTGAAAAATACCATCTAATTTAACTAGAAAAGTATTTTAGTCAATTAATATATATTTAATAAAGGAAATTTGCATATTCTAAGGGATCATAAATTCTATTAATTTTAAAAATCTTATTTTAAGAATTATAAGGTTTTCAATTCGGACATTCTGACAGAATATGTTTGAGTATGTTCAAAAATAAAAATATTCTTGAACCATAAAATAATAAAAATATTCTTGAACATATTTCTTGATCATGACTTTAAAAATTTCTTGTAGAATAACAAAATTCTCGAACCATCAATTGAAGAATTAAAACAAAAATTACATTAATTCTTATACAATACATGTAACAATTGCTAAGAATTACATTTATTGTTAAATAATAAAACTAAAAAAACTTTCAAATCTGAAAAAAAAAATCAAAATCTAACAAATACACTAATACATTCTAAAAGAATAATGTTGCTAAGAGGCGTTGTTCAAATTTCGTGGTTTGTTCTTCAAGCATCAGCTTTTGTGGAAACAATTCCAATGAATAAATTAGTGAGAAAATATCCTATATTTCAATCCAACATAATTGTAATTCGTGATTCCATTCTGATAGAATTGGAATTCATTTACCAATAATTCTATTAATTCGGGGAATTCTAACAGAATATGTTCATGATTATCATAAATAACATTCTTTTTTGATAGAATACTATAAACGAAGAAATATCATTCAGTTGAAGCATTTTTAGCGAGCGCTTGGTGTGCATCAAAACAACTTTCAATTTCTTGTAAAAATTAGACAATCAAAACAAATTCCCAATTCACCAAAAATATTACACCTTGAAAGAATTAGACAATAAACCTAAACACATCCAAAATTTCTTTGATTTCTGTCAAACAATCAACCCAAAACATCCATTCTATATATTGAAATTAAATCAAATTAAAAAAAAACCCCATTTGAAGATTAAACTTCATTGGTTTACAGTAAATCAATCTAAAGTACATCCGCAAACAAGAACACGTTTGTGTTTCCTTTCCTTCCCTGTCAAACACCCAATCCAAACACCCGTTGGTTTCTATCAAATGAAAAACCCAAACACCTCAATGATTCTATCTAACAGTCAAAACAAAAGAAAAGGGAAGAGAACCTGTTACTGATCGGAGCAACACCCCCTCACAACCCCTATTCTTCTTCCGTCGAGCAAACCCACCGAGGACCCTGACTTCCTCACTTCTGCTGATCGCAACACCCGACCATTTTCCTTCGTCCCTTCAACTTCGTCAAACCACGGAGACGACCTCCCTTGTCGCCGATTGAAATCGCTCCTCCTATATTCGCACCTCTGATTCGGAGGAGAAAGAGCGAAATCTCGCTGCCTCGTGCCTTCCTTCCTTTGGTTCGGCCAAAAACTGGAGATGGTCACTTAGTTCGATTGATGATGGTGGTGCCGATCTTCTGTTTTGGAGCTAGGGTTAGGGAGGATCGAATGGGATAGAATACAATATTGTTGATTGTTTTAAAAAGGGATAAAGGTAGGTCAAAGTAATTACTATAATTATCGGGAGTTTATTGTAGAAATTATTTATCAAATTACTAAATTACCCTTATTTATTTGTTTGATTATTTATTTATTTTTTAAATTTTGATTGGCCCACATTTATGCATACAATAGCACAATAATTACATTAAACACCTGAACCTATCTCTCTCTCTCTCTCTATATATATATATATATTATATATATATATATAGAGAGAGAGAGAGAGAGAGGTAAGTTCTACGAGAACACGTAAAAAGGTTGAGAACGCGAGAAGAGAACTTTGAGAACAGTCCATTCTTGTTAATTTTTCAAAATTATGTACTTACAGTGTAAAAGGTTAAAATACGTTTATCTCATTAATTTATGCAATATTAAATTAGGGTATTTCTTATTTATGCAATATTAAATTAGGGTATTTGTTACTTTTAATTAGACTGATAACACATATCCAATTAATCGTACCTACCTTCTTCATCTCCAAAATATCCGGTTTATTTCCTTCATCCGTCTTATTCCCTTCACCTTTCATTAGTTACAGTACAGTTCCAAGTTTGGGTTTTTTTTTATTCTCCGATGATTTGCAAGAATCTTTAAGCTGGAATTGGGGGATCCTTCTACATCAGTTTCTTTCACATTACTTATCAATAATCCTGTGGTTTTTATGATTCGATGATATGCAACCAATGTGAAGCTGGAACATTGGGATTCTTCAAGATTACTTATGTTTTATCGTTAAAGATCGTCGATATAAAAGCTTATGGAGGTCGAATTTGAAGGAGGTTATGCAGTCGGGAATCGCACAAGAGGTAAGTTCCTTTTACGTTCACTGTTTTCCTTTTTTTTAATCATATAACTCGATTTTGTATACTTTCTATACAATGTTTTACATGAGTTTGCAATGTATACTTTCGATTTTGTCAAACGGTTCATGGAAGATTTATGACCTATTTTCTCATCTATATGTTCACTGTTAGCTTTTTTTAATCATATAAATCGATTTGCAAAAGCTTGAATGATGTTATTGGCATATGTTGTTAAATTCAACTACAACTCATCGATTGAGATGAGTTTTCCATGTAGATGGTTTGATTAGGTAAATATTGCCACATGTCTTATTAGCCCTTATCTCACACTTATGTGTTACCTGCTAAAGTGTTTGCATTATATTTATTAACCATAGATTCCATTTACATGTATGTTATTTCTGTTTTATTAATATGTTTCAATTTGCATTATGTTAATTTGTGTAGTTAACAGTAAGATTAGACTTATGTCATTGTTATCATGTATGATCTTATTTGCCCTAATTTCATGCTTATATGTTACATGTTAAATTGTTTGCCCTACATTTATTCACCATAGATTCCATATAAATGTATGTTATTTCTGTTTTATTCATATGTGTCAATTTGCATTATGTTTATGGGGGTAGTTAATAGTAATATTAGACTTATAATTTTGTTATCATGTATGAACTACAATAGGGCGCATGAAAAGTGAGCGTATCCATAACAAATACTCACTAATGAAATACAAGAATGATCCCTCAAACCCAATAATAATAGATATCGATGTAGATGCATCTGATTCGATCAGGATTACCCCCATACCAACCATTGCTAAAGCTGGAGTTCTGACTCAAAGGTCAAAATCTAAACCTGTTTCAACTGTCAAACCAATTCAGAAAGAAGGTAGTTTTTTTTATTATTGTTTGAATTAGTTATCACACTAAAAAGCATATTCTTCATCATTTTTTATTATGCCTCAGTATCAAAACAAGGTCAGCATTCCGGACATAGTGTTTCTGTTGAAGTGCTTCATAAAAATCGTTCAAAGCAGAAATTTGATCTACATTCCAATTCCCATTCACCTGTGCATGGTTATACAAAATCAGGTAGCTCATTAACACTGTCTTTTTTAAATTGCTAGTATAATTCATTCATCTTATTTACTGTTGTTTGACTGTTGTATTGTATTTTCCACCAAAAAATACACAGATATTAGAAAAATGTTGTTTACGTGTAAAGAGAAACAGCAGCCATCACATGATGAATCAGATTTTAAAGACCCAAACCCAGTTATCAGCCAAAATAAAAGGAAATCACCTCCACTTGTAACAGCCAAAGTTGTGCAACATCAGGAAAAGATAAAGCTAGAGCAGATGTGGCCAGCCCTCAAGCAATTAAGACAAAAGTTAAAGTCAAGAAACTGGAGAACAGAAAATCAAAGAAGGGAGTTCATGTGGGTATTCCAACACAACCAAGGCGAATACATATTCGTACGTCACCAAAAATATTATTCTCCACAATGCACGGTCTGACGAATGGACAGAAGGAGTATTTATCATCCATTGGATTTGGTCCCCTTTTAAATATAAAAGTAGATGGGTCGGCATCACGAATTGGGTACTATGCGGTCAACAACTTTGACCCTGAACGCATGGTATTGAATGTCGAGCGGGGTGAGATACCAATCACTAGGCAATTGATACATGACATGTTGGGTCTCCCTCTGGGAAATATCAATATCAATTCACTAAAGTTCACACCCGCTGAAGACAATACTGTTGATTTGTGGTCTGCACAGTTCAAGTCAGAAAATGATATTAGGCCCAAAGGCGTATAAAGGGCGATTAAGAGATTAAAAGATATTGGGTTATTGTTTAAAGTCAATTTTTTGGTTCTTATTTGTAACACCCTTGGACAATCCAAGAGCATGGGCACATGTGATGTATCAATGCTTTCAAGGGTTTCAGAGGATTTAGATTTAAGCGACATAGATTGGTGTTCATACGTGTTAGAGTGTTTGAAAAATACAAAACATGCATGGAATTCGATGAGAGATACATCTTACTATGTTGGCCCTATTGTCCTATTGACGGTACCTACCCTACAACCTAACTTAATACATTAATTCTACTTATTTATTATTGACTTAGTCACTGATGATTACAAAACTACATCAGTAATGACTTATTGACTAATCCTTGATCACTAATGATTTAATCATCATTTTTTTAAACATATAAGCTTATATACCTGGAGCATGTTTCATGTGATGCAGTTACGATCGATCGTGGAAGACCTGCTATATGTTTCTGGGATGTGGAAACCATGCGGTTACGTGAGGAGTATGAAATCAGAAATGGTGGAATTGGTTCTGGTGAACTTCAGGATCCTTACATACCACAGGATGACAATGCCGAAAATGTCAACTCGACGAATGGATTAGTTGAGGTTAGAAAATTTCCACATCATTTTTTCATATTTATCACATATTACTAATCATTCATAATGTTTTCAGGAATACCTTTCCACCATTGAAAGTATGTTCAACAAGCTAGTTGAGGATAATCATTTGTTGGACTCAAAACTTGTAGAAGCAATCGAAAGGCATCCTCTTGTTTGTGATTTCTACGAATGGAAAGCCAAGATCAGAATCTTCCTTAATGAAGCATCCACAAAATATGGAGGTGGCAGTTCTACTGATGCAGGCAACATTGGACCTTTATCCCAATGGTGGTCAGACAACGCAGAACAGATTAACAGGTCATGTCAAATGGCTGAACATTCTGTTAAATCGTTCCACAATTCACCCTTTCCAAACTGGAGCATCGGGATGACACAAGAGTTTGTTGATATCATTAGCAATTCACCACTGAAAGATATCATGAAAACTCCAAAAGACCATTGTCCAAGTCCTCTTCCATTATCAATTGTTCCTATTCATAGTGATGATGTTGCTGTCCGCGCAAGAGAGTTAAGGCCAAGAAATAATCCCCCTGTTCTACGTTCTCCGTTCATTGAAAGGGCAGTTGATATAACCAAATGTATATCACGTTCTCAGAAGGACCTATCTGAATGGGTTTTCTCAACACAAGGTCATCCAAGGTATATACAAATTCCTACATAACTGTTAAAACAAAAATTATTTATATAAAGATTATTTAAGTTTTAACATGTTATTTTATGCAGTGACAAACTTTTCCGGACTTGTGCTGGTGTAGCTGCTGAACGCTTTCACATGGAAAGCTTTTTCCCCAAATGTGAACTTTTTGGACATGTACTAGATTGTTGGAGTCATCTGTTAAATTTCGATGAAGATTTGCGTTCCAATTTATCTCCTCGCAGACTATTTGCCACTACCACGTTGACGGTACAATCTTAATAAACATTAGCATTCATTAACTATGTCATAATATAATCTTCTACGGTTGCACATACATGACTTCCACATTTTTCACATTACACCTTCAATTTCATCTTCCTATTACACTACTCACAAACATTATTAACAACCTCTGTAATTACATTATTTATCTTCTTCACAGAGTTTGTATCTCGAAAATACTGTGTTGACAGAGGAAGATCGTCTGAAAATTTTTTATGAAAATTTGAGCCTATCCATTGACGATTTTGATGCAACACTGCACGATGTGCAATTAGTATGCTTCTATACCCACTTTTTATAATTACTCATTGTTTTTAATAATTTATTAGATATTGATGTAAGCTTTAGTGAGTGCATTGACAACACTAAATTATTTTAAATCATATACTTAATATTTGTTTCAGCTATTCCTGCCAGTCGTCCGTGAATTTCATATTTTCCTTGTCGTACTCGACTTTCAACAACCAGCCTTTTGGATCATTGACAACATCAAAAGAGATGAAGACACCCAACACACATATGGTTTACTACCAGATATCATTGTAAGATACAAATACAGATTGAAAATAAATCCATTTTTAACATATAATCCTATATCATTTCCAGCATTCATACATGATTCAATATTTGCGGTCTGTTCACCATCCAAACGCTGAAGCCTTTTCACATGTCCCAAGACAAATCCCCAACTATCTTGGTCAACAGTAAACAATAGCACTGACTGTGGTATTTTTACTATGCGTCACATGGAGACGTTCATGGGTGGAAACATTAGAGATTTCAAAACTGGATTCAAGTCAGAGTCGCTTGCACAGGACAACCAATTATCTAGACTACGGGTCATATATCTTTGCAAAATAATAAATTCTGACTACAACCTGCTGAAGGATTCAATCCTTCATCAGGTAGCAGAATTCCAAAAGTTGACTGCATCTAACCGAAAACAACTATTGAAGGATGCTGCAACCAGGATACATGACAGCTGACTGAATTTGGTTAAAGAATGTTGTGTTTAAAAGTCTTTTTTGTTTACCTTCTGGGAAGAATAATATGTTATTTACTTTTACTCTATTATGTAGATGGCTCAATGCAGCTAACCTGTCACTATTTTGCTTTTTGATTATGTACCTCCCTTTTGTCTTCATATTATATGAAAATGTCTTTTCTAAATCTTACATGACTGTCTCTTGTGGTTATTGTTAATCGAAACTGATAAGTTATACCTTTTATAGCTGGCTTTTATATTACATACCCAAGTTGTTTCGACATGTTACTCGAAACTGATATCTTAATGTTTTAGACTTTGACATCACATGATACATGTGTGGTATGAATTTATATAATTTTATTTAATTACTAACACCCCACTTAATTTTGTAATAAACCATCATAAATTATGTGCATACCCAACTAATACATCACTACACATGTACCATGCATAGCCTTTTCCTTTTTTATTTTACTCCACCAAACCATACATAGCTCTAACATTCTCTAAAATCACATACCCAAACAAAACAAACCTTACAAGCATCAAACCATATCATCATACATGATAGATGACACCCATCACCATCTAAGTAAATACCATGGCTGTATACAATCGACAAAAACATCACCATCATCATACTATCTCTAATAGATTGCACCAAAAAATTATCCGATAAAAAAATAAATCAACAAACAAAACAAAATGATGTTATTCAATTTAAAAAAAACCCAAATGCAGATGTGCAAACATAAGTCAATAAATTATTAATGATAAACAAAAACATCAGTAAACTAACACTTAGTCTAACTACAATTGGATTTCTCACGCGCGTAATTCTTACTTTGCAAGTCCTCCAATTATGATTCACATATAAGTTGCATCCTGTGCACTTTCGTGAACCACTTTTTGAAGATGCAGCTGCCCTCTCCGCTGCACTAACCATCCATTTCTTAGTCCCACTCCCTTTATTATGTATCACTGGTGGGACATTAACTTCAATGTGTTCTGGAATACTAACCCCAAATAGCCTAAACACAGCTTCATCACTTTCATCCAATGCAATAGTATTAACCGGATCTTGCTCAAACACCCTCCTCATCGTACGTGTTGTCTTCACAAAATCTTCTAATTTTTCCTTATCATTCTGAAGACGCTCCAGACAGTACTCCATGTTACTATATGCTTCGGTTAACAATTTAAAGTTTCATCTTCCATTTCAGCAAGCCCATTCTTACTGACCAACAAATGGCTAGAAATAATATCCCTTCTCCACCTCCGTATAATATATTGCTCGGGTATTTCCTCAATGTGATTATTCTTCAAAACTGCAAACACATGTCGACACAAAATACCCATTCGCTTGAAGAGTTCGCATGTACATTTTACTTCCTTTTCTGGCAACTTCAGTTCCACCTACATCAAAATTTTAATACATACTTTAGGCACTTTTTAAAAAAAAAAAATTATTTGTTTAGATTCGTATAAACATTACTGATGCTTTTACATTCAGTTGAATTTTAGGAACTAACCTTACACTTTGTCTTCACTTGTCTTCTTTTGTCCAAATGTGTAATCATTACTACCCGCCACCCATTAATATTTTCTACACTATCAATTGAACAATTTCATGCTCCTTTGTATATCTCCTTTCGAATTTCTGCAAAAACTGTATTTATATACACTTTTGTTGCATGTTGCTCTAATCCTGTGCCCATCGCAAATTTATGCCTGGTTCTCTTAGTTTCATTATCAAGACGACATTGCATGTTACGTTGTTTTCCAATCGCCGTGTCATAGTTCACCATGAAATACAAAAGGAAATTCCCATGATGCGAGTACTTATTAAAAATGAATTCGCACTTTCAGACCTGGAAGTTGTTTTCATCAGTCCATGCATTGGCATGTCCTTAAAATAAGTTGGTATTCATGAAGTCCGCCTACAATACATGTCTTTAAACCATCGTGTATCTTGCAGATTGTGATCCTTCATCAATGACTTCCACGTTGTTTCAAACTCAATGGGATTCATATATATATATATATAATATATATATATATATATATATATATATATATATATATATATATATATCGCCACTAACCTGATACACAACCTGATACACAACCATTTTAAACTTCAAATTACACATATATTTTAACATATAAATGTACATTCATCAACAAAATTCAAATCTCATTACATATTCACCATATGTAATTCAATTACCCATACAACATACCTTTGCCTGTAGTTTTTTCGTTATATGCCATAAGCATAGTCTATGCTTGGCGTTCGAGAATACAGCCTCAACTGCCTGCAGAATCGCTGGATCCTGTTTTTTTTAACACCAATGTTGGTTCTTTTCCATGAGCTTTTAAAAAAGCTTTAAGCAACCAACAATAAGAATTTATTTTCTCATTACTAAGTAGACCAACACCAACAGTAACAGATCTTTTGTGATTATTAATAGCTGTAAAAGGGACAAATACCATTCCATACCTAAATAATAATATTTGTCATTATTAATGAAATCGTACAAACATATTAATCCAAAATACACATCAACCAAAATAACACGCAACATAACACTTACTTATTTGTTCGAAAGGTAGTGTCAAAAGATATCACATCTCCAAACTCCTTGTAGAATACCTTATCTGTTTCATCAGCCCAAAACATAGCATTTAACACGCTATCGACACATTTATACTCAAAGGAATAATCTGGCTAATATGTTTTCCTCTCATTCATTTTATTCACTACCAATTGCTAATCCTTGTTGCCTATAATGTTACCCAAGTTTTTCCTAAAATTTTTGTAATCACTCTCTTCGGGACCAACACACTCATATCCACCTTTTAACGCAGCACGAAGTTTATGCGCCTTTGTTGCACCCACATTTGCTGTTGCTGCGCGTATAATAAACTCCGTGTCTGCATAATTTAATTTTCTAGCTTTTTTTGAATGTCTGTGCTCTTCTGTGGTATAAAGAGGGTGGTTGTGAAGCTCTTGAAACTCTCTAATTTGAAACTCATTTGTTCCAATACTAACACGTTCAAACTTTATCAATGCTTTACAATGCGTTACAATAAAGTTTGAATTCCTATGTTTCCTTCCACCATTATTTGTATCCATTGTATCCAGGCTTCTGTCTGGTATTTTCCCAGCGCGATTGCAAACAACATACTTTATCTTTATTGATTTGTCATGCCGAAACTTTGTAGTTGTGTTCAACCGAACATCAAACCCAGCATGTTCTGCATATTTTCTATACATATTTATTGCATGTGTTAGTGATTTGAATGTAACCTTCTCATCAGGCATAAATTCTTTCGCGACACTAGGTTTCCACAGCTTATTAGATCCACCAGGTGAATATAAAATGCTATTGTTGACAATTTCATTTTCATCAGATTCCATACCTGATCCAAACAGTTCCAATTAAATTATATTTATATAGATAATAATTTTTGTAAACATTAACCAGATTTCATTACCATCACAATCATCAAGACTTTGACCTGATTCATTGTCACTCTCATTTTCATCAGATGTATCTTCGTAGCCACCTTCACTTTCTTGTGTAGAGTTATGTATTCCACCACAACAAATATATCCAATATTGACTTTATAACACTACCATTTTGTTATATTATTTATTAAACATTAACAACCACTGTTGAATATAACTACCGTTATATAAATACATTTAGCCATTCCATGACATAAAAAAGCTGTTTTGCCTAATAAATAGTTGCGAACATTAATGATTGTCTCAACATATATTCTTCAATGATTTCAATACAACTACGAATAAACAACAATTGAATTCAAATAAAATAAATTGTATACTGAAACAATAACATTTATAGATACCCCAGTTCCATCACAACTACATTAAATCAGTTGTGATTACAAACATATTCAAATATGTTTCAACATAAACCCACATAATTCCATAAACAACAATTATATTCAATGATGATTGAAACAATAACATTTATAGATACCCCAGTTCCATCACAAGTACATTAAATCATTTGTGATTACAAACCTATTCAAAACTGTTTCAACGTAAAACCACATAATTCCTTAAATTAAGCAATGATTCACATATAGCCAAGACTATGCAACCTAATGGAATAAAAAGTCTAAATTTGAAATAAACAAAACTGTTTTGCCTAATAAAAAGTTGCAAAAATTATTGATTGTCACCTCACATATTATTCAATGATTTCAATACAACTACAAATAGACACCAATTGAATTCAAATCAAATCAATTGTATTCAATCATGAATGAAACAACAACATTTATAGATACCCCAGTTCCATCACAACTACATTAAATTATTTGTGATTACAAACCTATTCAAATATGTTTCAACGTAAAACTACATAATTCCATAAATTAAGCAATGATTCACATATAACCAAGATTATACAACTTAATGGAATAACAAGTCTATATTTGTTACTGGTAAATTATATATGTACATACAACACAGTATAATCATTAGTGAATAAGGGTCTAAGTGTTTATCAACCTATTCAGATATGAATCAACATAAGACCACAAACTTTGGAAAAAATAACTCTATATTTGTCACAAGTTAATTAGCTACGTATATACACAACATCATAATCATCACTGAATTTAATTATTTTTCGCATTACACAATACTCATTCATTATTGATTATCATATTCTAGCATTTAATACCCATACAACATCTAACTCAATCACTACTTCTTTTACTGTTGATATAAATTTACTTCACGTCTGTATCATTCATCAGTATAAATCAATTCAATCGAATTGAACATTTCTATTTCGTTTTAGCAGAAATTAACACTTCTTTTTTGTTTCACAATATGATTACAGTCAAATAATAATTTATGAAATCAAACACACGTAACTTCACCTTCATCACCAATATCGATCAGTGAATTGAAGTAACTTTCATAGCCATAAAAATCCCCACAACAGGTGTGCTTCATCGCAGCCGAATTCAATCAACGTATCGTAATCTGATTCCAGACGACGACAACAATATTGCTGTAATATTTTGCAAATTTCGATTACACGTCTAATGTCGGCGATATGGACTGCAACAATAACCAATATGGTTTCAATAACTTTTATCCAATTAACGTTCTTCATCGTTCTGGCTTCAATCATGGAAAACGTCTATTACGTGTTTATTTAATACGTTTAGGTTATGTTTATGTTGCCTAATTACTGTTTACGTAACTATATACTTTCCTATTTTTGACCCTTATGAAACGATTGGTCCACATTTGTTCTCGCGTTTCTCAACCTTTTAGTGTTCTCAATATAACTTATCCCTATATATATATATATATATATATATATATATATATATATATATATATATATATATAACTGCAGCGGGATACAATTTTTTTATTTTTTATTTTTATTTTTTTAAGGGTGGGGGTGGTAATCTTGTCTAAAATTTTCATTTGTGCGCTTCATGCTTTATAGAACAAATTATTGAAATCGTCCCTGTGGTTTGGTCAAAATTGCGTGTTTGGTCCCTAACTTTTTTTTGCATTCGGACCATCCCTAACATATCATATTCTTGCGTTTTTCGTCCCTAACATATCATGTTTTTGCGTTTTTTGTCTTTTGTAAAGATAAAAAGACTATATTGCCCTTTGTATTTTCTTTTTCAGTTTTTTGTTACTTATTTTTATTGATTAATTAAAATAAATGAATTATAAGTAATTTATAAATAAGTGGGTCCACCTACTCCACCCCCCCTCGGTCTCCCTTCCCATCCACCGCCACCATCCACCTCCGACAACCATTCCAGCAGCACCTACTTTGAAACATGGTTCATCTCCGACAACCACCACAATTTACACAAAATCAAAAGAAATTAAACCAAAATCAAGCACTAGAACAACTACCAGTCTATCACACCCACCACTCTTTACAAAATCAAAACCAAACAAAATCAGGAATCAATGTATACATAATCAAAGCCTACAATTAACACTAAACTGAAACCACAGATCAAAACTAAATTCAAAGCTCAGAACCAAACCAAAAAAAGATAAAAACAAACTTGTAATCAAATCTCAAAATTAAACATAAAATGGGGGTTTGTATCTTGGTACAAACTACAAAATCAAACTTGAATCA